GCGGTCGACTACGTGGGAGTCCAGCGACATAGCCATTACGCTAACTGCTGGTTCCCCCAATAAAATAATTCTTAAAAAAAAAAAAAATCCTGCTCTGAGGGGCCAGCAGATAATGTAGGGGTTACCCTGCTGGAAGCTGACTAGGTTTGAACCCTGGACCTGGTGGCTAGAAAATCATGCCTAATGAGGGGAGCTGGCGGGTGGCACAGTGGACAGTGGTTGAGAGCGCTGGACTCCCAAATGGTAGACCATGGTTCAGTCCCCAGACCTGGTCTCTCTCTCATCAAGTAAACAAACGAATGAATGAATGATGTTAAATAAGATAGCTCGGGGCGGCAGGTGGCACAGGGTTAAGGGCACTGCAGTTTGAGTCCTGGACCTGACGGCTTGCCTTCTCACTTTCTGTCTGTCTCCCTCACTGGTCAAATTAATAATTAATTAATTAATTAATTATGTTTTAAAAATAATTATTTTTTAAAAAAGAAAAGAAAATCAGGGGTTGGCAGATGGCGTGGTGGTTAAGGGCGCTGGGTTCCCACATGGATGACCACGGTTTGAGTCCCAGATCTGGCAGCTGGCTTTCTCACTTTCCCTTTCTCTTCTCTCTCTGTCCCTCAATGGTCAAATTTACATTAATTAATTAATCAATTAATTAAATTTAATATAAAAGATTAAAAATTTTTTTTTACTTTTTTTTGGAGAGGTTTTCGCTATAGGGCGCATGCGCTTGCCAGACAGACAGAGAGAGACACAGAGACAGAAAGCAAGAAATCACCCTCCAGGGGGGATGGTCACGCTGCAATCCCTTCTCCATTCTCCTCTTGGGATCTTGGGCACGCACGCACACGCGCCCGGCGTGAGTTCTAAGCCACCGGGTTCGGGACGCGAACCGTGGTCGACTACGTGGGAGTCCAGCGACATAGCCATTAGGCCAACTGCTGGTTCCCAAGAATTTCTTTTTAAAACTAAAAAGAAAGTCATGCCTGGCGCGTTTGCATGCCTGAGATCCTGGGAGGAGAAGGGATTGTGGCGCACACCCCCGGGGGGGGGTGGCGCGGGGGGGGCGTGAGTTCTCACTTTCCCTCTCACTGTCTCTGTCTCTCTCTCCTGAACGTACTTGTCTTAAGACAAAAAATACAAACCGCTATTGGGAAGGGGTGTTCAACATCTGCCGGCATCCGGGAGCAGAGTGCTGAAATAGAACCGGGTGGTGCGAGCGGCCGCCAGGCTGCAGGTGGCAGCGCACGACCGCGGTCCAGGGTCGCACGGCCCGAGCGC